GAAAGTGGCGAAAGTTCATAAGTCTAGAAATATTTCAAAAGAGTTTGAGGTATTTGCTGAAATTCCGTAAAACCCTGGTTATTGAAAAAAATTCTAAGAATGACTGCTTATGCTGTAGTTTACCGGCACAGTCCACTCAGCATCCTGATTGCTCTTGGATGTCTTAAGGATGCGTTGAACATGAGCATTTCGGTCTCTACTTTATAATGTATTTGTCCGAAGTTGATATCTACTCTTTTTTTGGATTGGTGTGCATTTCCACTTACAAGTGGATTCATTCTAAAGAGACCATCTGGTTCTGTACAGTTAGGTTTCTCATTCCGCTGAAAGACGGATATTAGGTTGGTTTAAAAACATTTTACAAAAAGTTAAGTTAATGCGAAAGTGTTCAATGTGAAGACAATGCTTAATATTTCTAAAGCACAAAGGCTGGTTTACACGAAAAAGAAACAACTATGACCATGAACATTCAAGGCTTCTTCCTATCTCTTATTTCATTCGTTGCATTCTGTTATTGAAGACCATTTTGTCGCAATTTACTGTTATTTACACTTGCCACTATTAGATATTATAGTCTGACAAGCACGGCAAGCGTAACTTCTTTCAGTAGGAGGCCCTTTTTTTGTCAATGGATATGAACTGAAGGATTCAGACCCCTTTTTCGCAAATGGATATATACGTGGAGCACTCAGACTGCTCGCTTTCATTCGCACGCGACTTGTTATTCATTGCTTTTGCGCTCGCTTAACAAATTTCTTAACCTGTAACAACTGTTTCAGTGCACGACGGCTTTTCTCGTGGCTTTTGCGACAAACTTTATTGAGCCATCCAAAAAAAAAAAACGCATGGCTCTTTTTTCCATTTGAAGAACAGCTCTGGAAAATAGTCACACTGCTTTCTTCACTATTTTCACTAACCTTTGCTGAACTGTTCACCTAGTTGATCTGTTTAATAATTAATATTCCATTAGTTTACCTGGCTTTTCGGGCTGCTTCTCAGGCTCCTTCTCTGGTTTCTTCTCGGGTTCCTTTTCTGGCTGTTTCTCAGGCTCCTTTTCTGGCTCCTTTTCGGGTTTCTTTTCTGGTTGCTTCTCAGGTTCCTTTTCTGGTTGCTTCTCAGGTTCCTTTTCTGGCTGCTTCTCAGGTTCCTTTTCTGGCTGCTTCTCAGGTTCCTTTTCTGGCTGCTTCTCAGGTTGCTTTTCTGGCTCCTTCTCGGGCTGCTTTTCTGGCTCCTTCTCAGGTTGCTTTTCTGGCTCCTTCTCGGGCTGCTTTTCTGGCTCCTTCTCAGGTTGCTTTTCTGGCTCCTTTTCGGGCTGCTTTTCTGGCTCCTTCTCAGGTTGCTTTTCTGGCTCCTTCTCGGGCTGCTTTTCCGGCTCCTTCTCAGGTTGC